TTCGAAGAAACGCGACTTATGGCTTTGTTTTGTTGATGTCGAATGATGACTAGTGTGTGTGTGATGTGTGAGTGTGTGCCAGTTGCTGTGTCGGCTGCTGACCCTGCTGTCATGGCATGGCGGGCGCCATGTCCATGTCCTTTGAGAGAACATTGGCCCTGCCGCTCATCAGTTGGCAGCCATGCCACTGGGTACATGATGCTTTGTGCACGACCTGCAATACGAAGCTCTTGAAACCGCGGGAACTGGGGCCAGGCCTTGCTTGCTTCTGCCGGGTTCCTCTTCCTCGTCAGGACGCAGGGCAGAGCCCGAGTCAATCACATCTTGTCGGGACTGAGCAAATGTGGAGGAGATCTGATCCACGTTGTCTTGGGATCTGGGGCGGGAAGCATGTCTGACGGAGAGCAGATGACGGTGCCAATGAACACGAGCAGCACGAGCCGTGTGTTTAAAAGTTGTGTGTTCTTCATGCTGCTTCTGCTTGCATGAGACGAATGAGACCATCGTGTATATATGTATTGTGCTTCGCTGGCGTCACTCGGATGGCACAGGCCCGCAGATTGTGCGTCCTTGTACATGTTCACACTACGTCCCGTCCCATGCCTCCCTCGCGCATGGTACCTGGCATATCCAACATGGGGCATTGAAGTTGGCAGATTACACGCAGGCGCCCCTCCTCACAGCTCGGGTCCTATTCGCTCCGCAACGCTCACGAAGCCCACAATGTGGTCCTGGACCTTGTCCCATGTTCACTTTCGGCCCTGACAGGGTCTCTACGCGCGCCTTGGTGGATCAACGGAGCGAGGGAGACCTCTCACATTGCCCATTCTGCGCATCTCTGGTCTGGCCCTGACCTGCCTTTTGCTCTTGAGGTACGCACCAAGCTGGCACTGGCAGTCGCTGAGACGGCAGCCGTAGGTACCTGCGCAAAAGTGAGGTGAGGAGGGCCTGCGCGCGCTGTGTCCTGGCTAGGTCTGTTTAACCTCCGAGGTCACGTCACAGATTCACACCCATATCTCGATCCTCCTCTCTTTATCCTTCGATCTT